AACAAAGCACACTTGTTTAGGTTCTTTTGACAGCAATGAAAGACTTGGAAACAGTGATGAGCAAAGTCCAAATTGTTCAAAGCTGTGTGATTTGGGGCTCAGATTTCCTGATAACTCATTAGGATTTGGGTTTCCAAGACAGGTGTTTGGCATGCCTGCTTCCCTGCTCCCTTTAGGAGACATCAAGCTGAGCTTTAAACTCCTGTGGTCTGGAAAGTTCAAGTCAAGGTGCTTTTTGTTTTGTTTTTCCCCTTGAACGTCATTTCAGGACTGAGCCCGCTGGTCAGGGCTGACCGGACAGCTCAACGCTTTGCTAATTTGCAGGCGCTGTGGCTCCCTCCTGGCTTTCTTCCCTTGCAGTTTGTTTTACTTCAGGATTCACCCACTGGGACTTTAAAGGCCACAGACAAAGGTTAGAGGTGAAACAAAGAAAACGACACTGTTTGTTTATTTAGAGGGAGCCAGAATTCATAACGCTGGAGACACTGTGCCCCTCCCAAGAGATAACCGTCATTTTACAGCACCTCTCTGGCAACTTTTTTTACAGAAACATAATACAGTGACAGATCCGAAATACCATTTCCCTGAGTAACTCCTAGAACCAAAACAAGAACAAGAGTTTATCCTGCAAAGTGGCCAGCCACTGGAACAAAACAAACATCGCTCCATTGATCTCAGTTCCCACGTGGGAAAACATCTAAAAAAAGAAAGACAACTTTACTTACTTCAAAGACCTTATTTTCTATTCACTCAACTTGTCCCTTATTCTATAGCTCTCTTTGACCATAGATCTTTTTATCTGCAGGAGATAATCTTCTTATTCCCCCCCCCCCTCCTTCGGTGAAAAGGCCAAATTTTGCTTTCATTTAATCGCTCTGGAACCCCCTGATCGGCATCTGACACCATCCTGCACGGACAGCCTGGCAGTGCATTCTCCCTGTTCCCTTATTTAACCATTATGATAGTAGCAAAGGATGATGAAGATGCACCCGTTTCATGTAAGGAAAACGTCGCTTTTTCCCCAGGCACTTCTGTGTGCGCCTCCAGGGCAGCATCCGCTCCTAAAGGGATCACTCCAGATTTGTAACGTAGGATGTCGTTAGACAGTAACAAAAAAATCTGATTCCAAAGTCCTGATTAGAAAAGGTTAGCCCTCCTGGGACCAGCGTCTGATCTCAGCCATACAGGCACTAATCTGGGGTGAATCTGTTGGCGTCAGTGTCTTTACTCTAAACACACACTGGGGTAAAAATGAGAATCACAGCCTTGGCTCAAGCAGCCCAGCTCCAGCACTCTGCTACCAGAAGTGGCTGCTCACTTTCAAGCTCTCTGCACCGCCTGTAATCACCCAATATTGAAACCAGATTTACAGGCTCCTTAGAGGAGAAGTTTGTGATTTCCAAAGCAGACACACTTGGTATTTCAGAAAAAGGTCAAACCCCCTATGGAGTAAGGAGGTTTTAATAGAATCAGTTCAGCTTTGAGAGGCACAGGGGAAGCTAAATTACATCTTGGACATTTGATTTCATTTATTCCAATAGAATCACAGAATCACAGAATCGTTTAGGTTGGAAGGGACCTCTGGAGATCATCTAGTCCAACCTCCCTGCTCAAGCAGGGTCACCTAGAGCATATTGCCCAGGATCACATCCAGACGGGTTTTGAATATCTCCGGCGAAGGAGACTCCACTACCTCTCTGGGCAACCTGTTCCAATGCTCTGTCACCCTCACAGTGAAGAAGTTTTTTCTCAGGTTCAGATGGAACTTCCTGTGGTTCAGTTTCTGCCCGTTGCCTCTTGTCCTGTCACTGGGCACCACGGAGAAGAGTGGTTTCTCTATTAAACTATTATAGAAGAGACGTTTCAGTTAGAAATAGAGAGGTTTGTCCTTCTTGCACTCCAGGGCTCGCAGCAGTTTCAAAGAAAGGAGTGTTTGTTATTGTCTGCAGTGGAAATCTGAGAGCGCGTAGCACAATGACAAATCCAGGCTCCTAAGTCAAATACATTTTAAAAGGATAGCCATCAGTTACTGCCTCACCTCTCTGGACTCCAGCCTCTGGCCAGGCTCCTCAGCTGTAAATGTTGTTTGTTCCCTGCTTTGTAAGGCTGCTTGCTATCCGTGGCTGATACGGCACCAGCACCAGGGAAGCCCATGGACCATCACTAGGGTCCCTCCTTATTACAGGAATATAAATTAAAACCAAAGGGTAGTGGAAAAATTGTATTGGTGAGATCTGCAGATATAACTAGCAGCCTCTACAGAAATACTTATTAGCCGTGAATAGTGTGTTCTCCAAAGAAGGGTCTGCAGAATTGCCAAGGGATTTTGATGAACAGCTCAGTTTTTCTCAGTCCGTTTGAAGTCAAACTCTCTGCTTTTTTCTGAAATATTTCCCTCTGTTGGGCTGAGGAAGCAAAAGCAGAAGCAAAAGCGCAGACCAACCAAGCTGCGCATAAACTGTGGCTTGGGCAGGATGCTGACCATTAACCTCCCCCACTGTTGCACTGCTTTCATGGGTAAAGGCTATCAGCCTGCACCAGCAAAAGTGAGTGGTGGTTTCAAATGTGTACTTAACACTGGGAACACTGGAAAATCCGATTAAAGAAGTCTTAACCTGGCACAGCCATGCACCTATGTACTCCAGAAGAGTCACTGAAGAAGAAACATGGGAGGACACTGTCTCTGTTTGCCCCACACTGTCTAACCTATGCAGATAGTCATTGCTTCCTGCTCCACCTGTGGGATCCTGAAGCCCAGTAAAGTTTCAGTGAGAAGACATGGAGCTAATTCCATTAATTCACATAGCTGTGACCAGACACTAGGGCTTGTAACATAGTTTCCCGAATGCATAGGCTTTAAAATAAATTGGAAGTCCACATTTCACCTTTAAAAGACTCAGTGCCTAGAAACTCGCAGGCCGTATCAGCCACCACGCCTAAACTGCACATACCGGCTTGCGTAATAGGACAGCCTCAGGAGAAGGCAGCTGCAAACCTGCACGCTCTCCCCAGAGGCTCAGTGGCCCTGCTCTGAAGACCGCAGGGGAAGGCAAACATCTCTTTTCTTCTTTAAAGTATCTCCACAGCAAGGGGCCAATTAAGAGTAGCCTGGTCATATTAGCCTTTCAATGGCAAGTATAAATAGGCCCTTATGTATTCAAATCAGCAGCAAATGAGTAGTGAAGGTCACAGGATGTTTCGATGACACGCTCCTTCAGAGTTCCGGACAGAGTGCTGCAAAGGTTTAGCTATTGCATCTTCCAATTTGTCTCATCAGAACTAGTCCTGCAGCTCCATTTGTGACAGAGGCCATTTCGGATTTGTCTCTTTCAACACCAAGATCCCAGCCAGTCCTCCTCAAAAAGAATATATTTGGTAGAGCAGGCAACTGCCCCAGACAGTAGTTGACATCAACACAAAAAAAGGACAGACCGCTTATAGGAAAGTGGTGTTTTGAAAGGTCAGCCACAAGATCACAGGCCAGGTTCCTACCACAGTTACATCCGCATCGTCTCTTAAAACATAAGCAGCAGAAAAAGGTAAACATCAGAGAACGTAATTTGTGATTTGAAAGCAACTCTTCAGGCACGTAGAGAAAATAAGAAAAGTGAGCAGCTTGAAACTAATTCTCCTAAGCTATACTTTAATACTGCAGATACAGGCAGAGTGGAACCTCGGCTGTCATTGTGCTCTGCCCCTGACTGTTTAACTGTATGGATAAGTTCGCAATATCAGTGCCTGTTTGCACAGGCAAGTGACCAACTTATCTCCAGCAAGCCCACCATATAGTTTAAGTGTACTTTCAGGAACATAAACTCGCAACCTATAGGGGCAGCCTTCCCTTGCTTACATCCCTTTGTTTCTCAGATGGCATACGCCAAAGCAATATATCATGGTGCTCAGAGTGCCCTGAGACTTGGGAGACCAATTCACAAGACCGGAGCAATGCTCCAAGATTTTTGCATCCCTAACTATGCTATCCCCTTCCCCACTGATGGCAAGGGCAGGAGCTCACTTTTCCACTGGAGCAGAAGGAGCTGGAAGCATTTCTAAAGTGATTTAGACATAGATCAATACTAGACTCTTGCCTATTTTTCAATTCTAGCAGCAGCATTTTGAATCTTTTTACCATGATACTGGTGTGCCTCTTAAAGTAGACTTGCTTAATTACTGCAAGAAAGTCTAACAAAGCAAGAAAAATAAATACAATAAGCTTCTTGGATGCTTCAGGGGGTTAGTTTGTTTTTAGCAACTAGGCATCAAACAAGTGAAGCGATCAAGTGAGGCCAACTAGTTGAAGGAGCAACGAACAAAGTGCCCAGATGCAGGCTGCAAAGGAAAGCCACCTATGCAAGAACAGCACTAAGGAGGAGCCAGAGATTAAAGTGAGAACACTGCTGACTCTTCAAGTCTAACAGTCCCACACAAAAGTAGCAGCATGCAATACTGAGCTACACTACAAAAGAGCAAGGCAGTTGTTGTTTTCCACTCTGCCCAGAAGGGTTATCAGCAAAAGTAATACACACAGCAGAGCCGGCTTCAGGTTTTTTGGATTCTCCCCACACCCCTCAAATAAAGCTGAGTAAAAGGTTCAAAAGAAAAAAAGATTATAGAAAATAAGAATTGTGAGAAAAGTGAGGAAACCCAACTATGAAGAATTAGGAGACACTTTGACATGTTGGTTTGCACAGAGAGAAGCAGCACTTCTTCAAAGAGAGACAGGAAGAATAGGTACCATGCATAACCTCAATTAATTCTTAGGCAGCTGTGAGGCACATGGAACAAACGAGAATTGAGGACGTAGCTTCACTGCTGCTACAAACACTAAACAGTAAAGCTGCCACCCTCCTTCAGGGATAACCACCTAATTTCTCTCACCGAGTGGAAAAAGAGGCTACAGAATCTGAACATTATGCACAGCCTTAACACTACCACCTTGATCCCACTCTTCCACCTCCCCCCTCAAAAATTGCTTTCTAAAACAAAAAGCCACAAACAAGTTTCAGACAAAATATATATATTTAAAAAAATCTTTACAATAAGTCAGGAAACATAGGAGCTTGCATACAGTTTATTATAATAACTCAATTCTCAGCTCCCTACAGTTCAGATAACCCTGGTGACAGTGTTTACAACTTCTAATTTTTGCTTTCATAACTTTAAAGCAAACAATACATTTGAGTGTATTTTACTCTGTGCAAATACGACAACTTTTGGAATCCTTCAGAAGAAATATCCAAGATTCTGTTTGCCGAGGTCCTTTGTTTCTCAAAGATGATTTATGAGTTTTTCAGATAAAGTGCTCCTGTCCAGCAGAACCCAAAGGCCTTCAAGAGTTCAGAGAGTATGTTTAGCCCAGATTTAAAAAAATTGGTCATACAAATTCCAGCTTCCCATGTCCGCTGTACATTCCCCAGTGGACTAGCGAAAGAATTTTATCATTGCTGAGGTCTGAATGTCTCATTTTATCACAGGTCATGCAGCAGTTCTCGTGACCAGTTACAGGCACCATGCATTCCAAGTCCAATTTTGCCACCTGCCCTTTTTTCGAAGGATGTCCATGAAAACTATAGTGCAAACGGGAGAGCATTTGCTGTCGTTGATCTTGCAGTCTCTTATTTTCACTCCTGAGCATCCGCAAGGCCAGCATGATAAGGAGCACCAAGATTAGCCCACCAGCTATAGGAACAGCAATTACAGCTGCCCTGAACCATAATTCTTTTGAAGAGGTCAATTCCTGCACCTTGGTGATGAGATTCCTACTGCTGTCATGTTGATATCTGCTCCCTTGTCCTGCAAAGGGAGAAAGATGTGAAGCTTATTTCAGTTTCAACAACTGTTTTATATTTTAACAGCCTCTTAAACCCCACACTGACAAGTTTAAGGAACCACAGCTACACGCTGTGTAATTTCTACAGAAATTTCTCCTATAAATGGAAAGGCAAGATTCTAAGGGTGTTTATGATATGGAATTTATTACCCCAAAAGTTGATCTAACTGGAAATGCCACTGCCATCGTTTCTTAGAAGCAAGATCAAGCAGGCAAGACAGACCTCTATTACTAACACAGATAAGAGCTACTAAGCTGAGAGGCTTCCCTCCATCCAGCCACCCGCTTCTCCCACTGGTGTCTCCAGTTACATTAGCAACAAAATCAATAGCAGACATACAAGGTCTTGATTATCACAAGCCTATAGACCAGAACAGAGATTCCACTGCAACTGCCTGCTCCTACCTGAAGTCTCGGCCTTGGGAGGAGACAGAACATCATGTAGTCCCCTGTAATTGCACATGTCTTCATGACAGCACTCCAACGTGGACATGGTGGTGCCCGAGTGGTTTTGTGCCTGCTTCGCTTGGCAGATATCAGCTGTGCTTGCAATAGAGTCCAAGCAGCCATGTGTAAGTGGGGAATGCATATTCTGGGGATCGAGCAGTCTGGAGAAGCAGGCGCTAAGCTCGGATTTACACATATAGCCAGTTGCAACACAGTGTGCAGCATCACAGTAGCATCTGATTTCACCTAAAAAAACAAAATTGTGCAAGAAAGGTAAGAATCTGGTTCTTTAAAGTCACCTCACTAGCTAGGCCTCTCATTAGGTGCAAACATTACGAAAGCAATCAAACTTAACAGCTCCAGTTTTTGGGTACTCATCTAGATTGCAAATCCATGAGGCCAGGGATTGTTTCCTTTCCATCACTGTACAGTGCCTACCTCGTTGTAACCTTAATCCCAGCAAATGCCTTGGGGCACTTGTTATAATTACTAGTACTATGGTCCTTTCAATTAAAGCAAGAACATTTCACTAAGCCACGAATGGGGGGAAAGCAGGAAGGTCACTGGCATTTTTTTCCAGTATAAATAACTAGACTGTTTTATAGCTACTTCCACTCACTGTCGGCAGTTAAACCACATTTAAAATTAAATCTTTTTTTTTAAAAAGGAAAGAAATATATACCTCCAGTCCTATAGGAAAGTCACGTCCGTGTTTTAAATAATTACTATAGGAATAGCATTCTGTTTTCATAAAACTAACCTTACACACTACTTTTAAACTGGCCAGAGGCACAACACAAATTCTAGTGTTTCTTTTTTTTTTTCCATTTGTTACACAAATATTTAATCGGAACTGCTGAATTGTTTATTACCTCTCAATACCGTGCCAAGATTTAAGAGGTTTAACTAACACCTTATAAAACTATTACCTAGAACCATTACCATCTAAAAATCTCCCTGTCAGGAAGGTTTTACCATGTGAAACTGGGCAACTATTTGTAATTTCTTCAGAAAGAGAGAATTTTAAGTAGTCTTTCATAGAAAAAGGCTTTTAGACAGTATTATAAAACAGAAACTGTGCAGTTTACAATTAATTTGTTTGCCAAAGTCAATGTCTTTCAATCCAAATGTAAAGTTATTACTTGGGGTGAAATTGTGAGGATAAAAGTGGTTCTTTCCCCCCACCAATTCTGCATGCAATCCAACATGCGGTCAAAAGGGGAAACACTTCGACTGAAAATCCTCTACCGGCTGTATGAAAAATCTCTCAGGAAACCTCAAAAATTTCTGAAGGAAGCGATAAAAAAGTTCCCTTCATAAAACTCTTCATTTTGTGCTCTCCAAACCGCTCTGGTACGAATTATACACGTCCTGTGCTGCAGGGAAAACTTACTCTTTCTAGGCAAGTTGAAACCCAAACGTACATCAATGCAAGGATTAAGAGGAAGCCAGATTTTGGAGCCATCATTTGAAGAGCGGACTTAAACTACTTTAATGTATTTGGTGTACTCACATCACAATGGCACCAAGGCTTTAAAAGTGAACTGAACTATCAGATCTCTTCTTTTTAGAACTTGCACTCCAAAACAAATGTGCGAGTCCCTGCAGCCACCCCATCTTACAGCACTCTCCCCCCCCCCGACACACACATGCCTGAAAGGTATTCTGAAGGATGTGAAAAACCACCTCAGTCAAGTTAGCGTGCACTCTTCAGCCTACCTTATACTTTCCCCAAAATGCTGCGGCAGGCTCCAGGCCTTGAAGTTGCCGCTGCTCTTTAACAACAGCCTAATAGAAGCCAAATGAAGGAGTGTCTCACCGTCTCCTGCCTGCGCTAACTCCCTTGGGCTTTTAGACCAAGGAACCTAATTTTTCTTGGGCTCACACACATTCCCATCGCATGTTGGATGGGAAAGCCTCTTCCTCCTGGTGTTACGCTCACTCATTTTCTGAGCGTTCTGCTTTAGGTCTCCCCCCCGCACTCTCCGAAAAAGCGCAGTGTGACGACGACAACAACGAGAACTACGAGTTAAAAATAAGATGCAAAGGAGGGACACCACCACAGTCAACAGTCTTTCATGAACCTAAGCACAGCGCAGGAGAGAAGTGAAGTAATAGGCACGCTTCCTTTTTAACTGTTTAAACAATGCTGCTTAAAATCCTACATTTTTTGGACCTCTAAGACAATCTTACAAACAAAAGCTGACAGGCTAGTCATCGGGTTATTGCAACTGCTTTTTAATTAAAGCCACATTTCTGGTGAAACAGAATGGACTTTGTATTACTGTATTAAAAGTGTATTTCTGTCAATTCATAAAGTTTCTTCCTGCGCTATGTAAAAGGCCAGAAAGGGTATTTAGTATTTTGAAACAGCGAACAATGCCCTTCTGTTCCCTCCTCTTTCTTGTTACTGTACGCAGCTATTAAAGAAAAATGTCTGCTTTTAGTCAAGATGGCTACAGGAGAGACTGCAGGCTTCTCTTAAAGCTTTTTGAAGTCAACAGCAGCCACAAGTCTGTGATCCCCTAAGCATATCATTATCGGGCGCACAGTTTCAGTATCTGCGACTTCGCACCGCTCAGCGGCTCCGTGCGCTGCCCGCTCCGTCGGGGCCGCGGGGCTCCGCTCCGCACGCCGCCAGGGCTCTCGCCGAGGGTTAATTGCACCCTTCCTTCCAAAACAAATAAACGCCGCAGCACATCACCGCGGCGCTAGCTTA